TATAGATCCCCCCCTTAAAGAACCTGTTCATGAGTTAAGCGTTTCCTTACCCTCACCATCATGAGTCAGTCAGAACGCTGGGGCTCTGGGACCTTGCAGGACTTTCCTCTGTCCACCAGGGAGCAGCCTTGCAGCTTTGAAAAAACGTGAGCCAGTCTTACCCATCCCGCTTTAAAAAGCACAAGGTGGGTGAGATAGTCTCTTTTATTAGACCAACTTCTGCTGGTGAGAGAGACAAACTTTCCAGCTACACAGAGCTCTTCTTCAGGTCTTCAGCTCTGTATAAGCTCAGAAGCTCACCTCAGTGGACCTCACTGTCATTCTCAGTGGACATTACTTGGCCTTCACCTTCCCACTGAAGTGCCAGAATTAACCCTTCGCTTCCCCTCCCAAAATCATGCTGTATGCTGTGGCAGTGCTTTGTTAGACAGTGTTCCACCCCAGAGATGGCATGAGTGGTGATGCGGCTCCAAATGATGTCAGAAAGGGTTGCCTGTGTGTAAGTGAGAGCAGCGTTCAGCCCAATGACTGGAAAGCACTTGATGATTCCCCTTTAACTAGTATTAGTGATGGGCCAGAGTGGTGAAGTTTGGAGCCAGCTAGAACCTTCCCCAGAGCCGTGATCAGGCTGGCTTGGTAGGCAAAGCATGGTCTAGTTCAGACCAATATTGTTTGACCAAACTGGCTCCGTGACGAGGGCCAGGAACCTCCTCACGCTGTTGCCTGGGCTGAGTAATGCAATGCATCCTCCTCGAGGAGCCACAGATGGATGGACTGTTGCCTGTATGATTCCACATGAGAAACAGTCTCTCTTGGCAAGGCCCGGGGCGAATGACTGACCAGGGAGGAGACCCAGGGATTAGCAACGTCAGGATTGAAATGGAGAATCTTGCACAGAATACTGGGTCCCAAACTAAGCTTGATGGGATGTTTCAGAGCAATTAAATCCGCAGGGCGTGTGCTGGTGCAGCAAACCATCGCGTGGCCGATTCAATGCAGACAGCCCATCTGACTCACCATCTCCTAGAGCAGCTCTGAATTGGGCTCTAGGGCACACAGCCGCCCCCAGGTCTCTCAACAGAAAGCTGCAAGGGGAAGCCAGATTCCCGGCCCCACCTGCTGTTTCTGGGACCTGAGAGCATCTCTCTCCCAGCTCCATACCAAGGGAAGTTGGGACAAGAGGCCTGAAAAGTGCCTGATATTCCGTCTCTCGTCACAGGCAGCTGCACGTACACTAGAGAAGTACTAAGCGTTAATTAGCACAGATGATGTCGTCTGTTGTTGTTGGCCAGAGTTTGTGACTCTCATGAAGCCCCTGAAGGGAAGGCCTTATGAAAATGCTCCATCTGTTGCTACATCCCCGTGTTCTGTAATGTTGAAGTCTTGATCTGAGCTTTGGAGAGGCGCGTGAGAGGGACAGAGGAAAGATGGGTGTGGCCTGTAAGTCTGGGTCTTAGCTACAGAGCAACCTGCAGCGGGAGAGGAGCAAGTGTGGGAACTGCTCCAATGCTGCAGTCAGGGGGGTCAGCTGGAGAATAGAAGTACGCCGTGAGCAAATTAGGCGCTGAGGTGGGATAGGGAGCAGAGAAGGGGGGCGGGAAAGCGGACGAGGTCCTCTAGTGCTGCAGTGCCGCTGATCTAGGGAACACAGCCAAGGGGGAGATGAGAGACAGGACACACTGGGAATGACTCCAGTGAGTCAGTTGACCCAGCCTCTGAGACTCGCAGCTGCGGGTCTTTTTCTGTAGTGTAGACAATTCCCCTTTGTTTCATTTTTGGTCAACCGGTCGTGTGAATCTCGAGCTGCAATGTCAGATTCCTTCTGCATTAAAATGAACGGGGGTGAGGGAAAAGGTTCCCCTGGTTTGCTCAGCTCTCATTTTGGATCCACACTTCATGTGTCTTCTGCATCTTTAGGCACCTAACTACGTTTGAAACTCTGCCTCCCGAAGTGCCTAAGTCACGTCTGAAAATGAAACGTAAGCCCCTAAATCACTTAGATGCCATTGCCGTGTTAGCCCACAAATACCCAGGGTATCTGGATACAGACTGGGCCCTTTACAAGCAATCCTCCCCTTTTCCTTGTGTCTGTGCCCCCCTCCCTCCTCACTTCCCATGGCAGCCTTGTAAACAACAGCAGCAAAGGGCAGCTGACATGGTCTGTTCATGGGGCGAGGGTTTAGCACTCGCATCCCTTCCTCCTTGCAGCTGGCAGAATAAACACCCGTCTCAGTACTTTGCCAAGCCCCGCTGCACCTTGCAGAGATGCTGGTGGGTCCCAAAGGCAGGTGAGACTGGTCCTATGAGGGCAGCAGCGCTCAGTGGAAGGAGAAAGGCCTAAGCGCCAAGAGTTGGGGGTCCATTCCTAGCTCTGCCCGGATTTGCTGTGTGAATTCAGGCAAGCCACACTGCTGCCCAGTGCCTTAGTTTCCTCAGCTGCAAAATGAAGCGAATGACCGTGACGTACCACCCAGAGCGGTCACAGAGCCAAGTCCTTTCATGTTTGTAAAGCACAGAGAGATCCTCAGACAGCAGGGCCTGGTCGTGGAGGTTTGCCAGGTCCCTCATGAGAGGGAGGTTTTCTCTCACGAGCCTAGGGCAAGTCAACGTCTGCGTCCCAGGCAGCTGTAGGCCATGGACAGCCCTGAGAAGGGATCCACACCCACCCTGCCTCGCGCCCGGGCATTCCAGTGACATCATGGACATTAACACCCCACAAATCTCTAGAGGGCCCAGAACCCCTGAGTCCCATGCTGCTCCTTTGGGAACTCCCCAGCACCATCCACCACCATTTTATGCAAATCTCCTTCCCTTGATGCTTTCATTTCCCTTTCCCTCTGAGCAGAAAATGTCAATAGCATCCAGTGGCGGGCCGGGAGCAGGATGAGTGCGCACACATCCCCTCCGCTGCCCATTGGCCAAGGGCAAGGCTCCCTGTAGACGCTGAGCGTTCCTGGGGGCAGGCTCAGACACCGTACCCCCCCTCCCCCAGAAGGGGAGGCTTTTCTGAACAGAGACTTCCCCACGTCTGCCTTCCATCCTCCACCCAACTGCCTCTTTCTTGGGCGTGAGCCCCCAGGGGGCTTCCAACCCCCCCCTCCATTTGGTGACCCCTGCGGAATTGCTGGTCCTCCCTACTGGTTACCACAGACTCCCTCCCTCTGCCAGACTCCCAGAAAGCTGAGGATCTCCTGTGGCTCCCAGGGGCAGTGTGGCCCCTGGACCTCCAGACTGTGGGTGTGTTCAGCTGTGCCCTGAAGTTCAGGGGAGACCTGGGCATGAGGAGCTATGGGGAGTCCAGGAGTCAGTCCAGGGGCTCAGCACACACCCCGACAGCTTGTTGGACCCCTTCAGAATATCCCAAAGCAGGGACTGCTGGGGGCAGAATAGGGGGTCTGGGGGAATGGGGCAGGGATCCCAGGGGTGGGGGAGGAGGGTCTGGGGGAGTGGGGCAGGGAGCCCTGCAGAGGGGGAGCAGGGTCTGGGAGAGCGGGGCAGGGAGCGCTGGGGAGGAGGAGCAGGGTCTGGGGGAGTGGGGCAGGGAGTTTTGAGGGGAGGTTGCTGGTAGGAGAGGACGAAGGGTTTATTTTATGGTAAGGGAAATAGTTTCGGGAGCTCAGAGAAGGAAAGAGGCCCTTGCCCACACTTTATGGATGTAGGCAGTGGGGTGGGGTGGAGTGGGGCTAAGGTGGGGGGTTGATTGGATTTGGGGGTGGGGAGTAAGACCTAATTCTGAGCCAGCTCCCCTGCCAGTTCCCGCCCTACCTGTCATTTCTCTTTCAGTGTCACAAGGCCGCCTCCTGCCCACGACTGGCCCATGATACCAGCCTCCATCGCCCACTTGTTACATCTTCAAACAAACTCCTTTGTGCCTTGTCCCAGGCTGCCCCTCACGCGTGGGGGGTGCTCCCCACAAGCACCCTCCAGTCGAGCTCATCGGCTTCCTGCAGAGCCCTCCACAAAATGCTCCTGTGCTCTGAGGCCTACACGAAAGCTCAGCAGTGGCTAAGCCGCTAATGTGCTGGGACCACTGGCCACCATGCCGACCAGCGCTGTCTCCTTGTCCTTCCCCTGTCAATCTGACTGTGTCCACCTGTTGCCTCTTGTCTTATACTCAACTGGTCGGCTCCTCGGGGCAGGGTCTGTCCCTTTGGGCTGTGTTTGCACAGCGCTCATGGGGGCCTGGGGACCAAAGCAATACTGTGTGATTGATGTGGACTGATCATCTTGATGTAGCCATTCAGGGGACTTTACCTTTCATTTCAGGAAGGGTCCATGGTGATCTCTCTCCCAACAGGAACCGGGTGCAGGTTTCTGATGGGGTTGCTCACTTTGTGGGGATCGTGTGGGTTGTCTGTCTGCAGCAGGAGATCCTGCTGGCTGGCTACAGGGTGGAAGGAGTCTTGCCAGGACCGTGTCATTGTTAAGGACCCTGGCTGGGAGCTGCTCTGGGGCTAGGCTGTACCATGCATATAGGAGCACTCTAATAAGGTGCTTCAAAGAGCAGCAGTGAGAGAAACTCACAGATCCACGAACTGCAGATACCTCGCATCCTGAGCACGTTCAACTCCCCCAGATCCCTCACTGCGTTCCTTACTCATTGCAGTTCCAGGAGGGAGCCGAGTGACCAGCAGTTGCTTCAAGGGGCCAAATGCCTCTTATCTCTTTCCAATCCTCTTTCGTTCTCAGAACACTGTGGACACATGAGCTGGCCGGGAAATTAAGGACACACCACATGGGGGGACATGGTTTCAGACAGTGCGTGGGATTAGGCACGTAAGGGCTGGAATTTTATGGTTCCTTGTGTTATAGCCACTTTCCCAGGCCTGAAGAGACTCATAAACATTGGGACCTGCAAGGGTGGGGCTGGCCTGCTCTGTTGATAAGCAGTTAACTATTAGTCCTTTCAGTGTTTATTAAATGGCAATAAATTTGCTCAGTCAATGGTTGGATTAATGAATGACCAAGTCAATGGTGTGTGAAGGCCTTATAAAGCTTCCCTTCCCTTTGGGAAGGAACAGGCCTGCCTGCTAGAGGAACTGAGCACTCAAAATCCAAAGGAGCACAGCGGAGAGAGAGAAGGCGCCAGAGAGACACGGGAAAAGGAGAACAAAGCACTCAAATCAAGACAGAAGACTTAGCCTGAGAAGGAAAGGGAGTAGTACCTGCAGGTGCCATGAAAGGCGTCACTTTCCCAGTAACTGTTATGCTTCTGATACTGGTGCACAGCTCCCAGCCTGTCCATGTCCAGGTGAGATCACGAGCTCTCAGACCTCTGTCCTTTTATTATTATAGATCCAACAAGGTGTGACTGTGTTGCAAGGGAGCATGGTTAGAACAGGCGCTTATAAAGTGGCCTCATGGGTTCTAATCCTCACCTTGCCACTGGCAAGGTGTGTAACTTCATTGCTCTGTGCCTCTATTTATCTATCCGTATAATGGGGTTTGTATTTATAATTACCTCTGAGGTTTGTGAGACTTGATCGTTTGCAGAAATGCTTTGAACTCCTCCAATGAGAGATGTTCTGTACTATAAGTGCCAAGTGTATGCCCTATGGCTGCAGGCACCTCCAGACATAGTGATTAGGGACATCTCCTATTTCACAGAAGGGGCTAAATTATTTCTGGCCCACCTTGCTAATCTGCTTCTGGGCAGAAGTTCCCCCTGCAAGTAATTAACTAGGGGGGAGGGATGTGGTTTGAGCATTGGCCTGCTAAACCCAGGGTTGTGAGTTCAATCCTTGAGGGGGCCACTTAGGGATCTGGGGCAAAATCAGTACTCGGTCCTGCTAGTGAAGGCAGGAGGCTGGACTTGATGACATTTTGGGGTCCCTTCCAGTTCTATGAGATAGGTATATATTTAACTAATTTATGGGACAGAGCCTGCAGAAATGTCACGTAGGGAATAAAAAATGGACCTAAAGGCTACTCAATCAAAAGGGGGATGGTAAATAAGGCCAGATTCTCAAAAGTGCTCAGCACCCGCTCTTGGGGCCTTTGGGAACAACGGAAGCTGTTGGGCTGTATTTTGCAAATGTGACCCAAAGGGGGCTGGGTGTGTGTGCGAGAGAGACAGAGAATGAGAGAGAGAAAGAATTCTGTCTGTGCTCAGACCCCCGCACGAGCCTGTGACCACTGAATTTCATTGCCATGTCACTAACTTCACTGGAATGCCAAGGTGTGTAGTATCGTCAGCTGTTCATCAAGTCTCTGCGGGTAGGGCAGGTTTGCCAGGAACTGTTCTACAGTATCTCAGCTTTGTTTTCTCTTCATTTCCCCTTCTGGGGCAGGGTGCTGCTGATTGGGAGGTCACTTCTTCCTTTTCTCCCAAGCTGTTCCTGAGCTCAAGGACTGTGGGTGGGAACAGATGCTTTTCTGTGAAAGGAAAAAAACCTCCAACTTCCCATCTGCCTTGCGGCTGCAGGAATGGCTTTTTTTGTACACCATAAAGCCACATCTAACTGGAAAAACTGTTGTTGCCTTTTCTAGTATCTTTACTGTGCTGTTTGCCCCTGGTTCTCTTTCCTTATTCTACCGCCAGCAACACACCAAATGTCTTTCCAAGAGTGGCCACGTGCACACATGCACGCACTCATGCATGGGTGTAGGACGCTCAGCTCTAAGCGTCCAGCTCCTTGCACTTTGAGCCCAGCTCCGTGGGAAGGGCTGTTACCCAGGGCTGTACAGAATGTTAAGTACGTTTGTATTTTTTAAGCCCTGTGTTGATATTCATTGAGCTTGGCTTCACCCTGCCACTCGTGAGACCAGAATGCTCGTGCAATTCACTTGTGAACAGGATTCTAGCCCTTTCACTTGGGCCAGGTCAGCTTCCCCAGGTTCAAACTGATTTCTCAAGGAAAAAAACCCCACCGAGACTGTTGTTCTGTGAAATCCCTCTGCCTGCTTTCATTCCATATGTCCTAGAAACCACATGACCAACAAAGCATCTTTGGCAAGATGGTGACTGACATCCATGTGACTTTACAATGTGCTTTTAAGGGCTGTGTAGGGTAAACAAAGTACCTGCCATATGGCACAGATCTCGATGGCACATTGCAGAGATGCATAAAAGATGCTTTGTGAGGCGTGTGGCGTCTGTGGAATGTAATCAGAAATCATTTGCAAATCAACGTTTCAACTTCCATTATAAAATCTGGCAGCTCCGGAGCCCAGGAACAGACATTCTGTCTGGTGGGAAAGGAAGGGGCTTGAGTCAAGCTCTGCTCCGACAAGCCCTGCTACTCCATCTAGTCTATTCCCGCTTACACACCCATCCCTCTCCTGTTGGACTGCAAATACGCAGTGTTGCCTGTCTGTTGAGCATCGTCTGATGCTGGCCCCAAGCCCAGTAGAAACAATAGTCACTACCACGGGGCTGGGCCAGCTTTTACATAAATATACACCATGCTTTTTGGACCATAGCAAAGGACAGGGATCCTCCTCATGGAGTGGTTACATTCTTCATTCTCTATGCACCCTCCAGTGCAGATGAGACTTTTAGCTGGAGGGTCATGCTGTTCAGTATGATGGGTAGAAAAGCCTCAGTCTAGTTGATTGGCCAGCCTGGTCACATGGTGAGGTGACCTCAAAGGTCTCTGTACTGAAGAACTAACAATCGGTCCACAGTGAGTGCTAATCTAACAGCCCCCCCCCCCTCGCAGTTCCAAAATGGCCCAACAGTGAGCACCATCCTTTTCCCCTGGAATGTAACATTGTGCCCGTGTTTGGTGTCACTGGCTTCTGGTGAAGCGAGAGGGATCTGTGTAATGACTCCTTGCCTGACATATTGCTTTGGTTCTCTCTAAATAGGAGGGGGAATTCTCGTTCCCGCTAGAGGCTGTGAAGAAGCTGAAGGAATTCTTGGATGCAGATGCCAGAGCCAGTCCCCGGATGATGGCTAGGACCAGTTTCATTTCTGTGTGTGCAAACCCAGAGCTGCCCAAAGAATTTCAGCCCGTATGTCAAAGGGAAGATGCACCCATCATTTTTAACAGGCTGAGTACGTAGTGTTTACTCGCAAGCGTCCCATGTTGCCCCTGTAGCGGAGACCCTTCAATCTCAAATGTTGGAGAGAGGCAGCCCCAGAACTGCACTGTTCCCCCTAGGCTCGCAGCCTGCTGCTAGGGCTGGTGTACCCGTGAGCTTTCCGCAGCAGGCAGTCAGACAAAATTCCCTGTAGCGACTGCAGTAGTTGCTGAGGGCGCCGCTAGCTAGCACCGAGATTTCTGTATGACACCTGCTGATGCAGGAGTTACCTGGGTCAAGGTGAAGCGACTATGGGATAGCTCCCCTGGAGTAATTGTTCTTGCTACACTTAGCTGAGTTTAAAGCCAGAAGGGCCCATTGTGATGATCTAGTCCAGTGGTGCCCAACCTTATTACACGGGAGGGCCACGTAAACCTAAGCACACCCTTGTGTGGGCCAAGCAGATTCTATAGATTATTAATAAGATTTAAAGTCACTTCTACTGATTTCTATTTTACATTCATCTTGTTTCGTATGTATTTAGATAGACAATCCTGTACAATTAGAACCAATCTATTTACACACTTGTGTAAACGAAAACGATGTCAACATGACAACAAAACGCCAATGAATCGGCCGTTAGTATATTGTGTTGAAACGGGCTGCAGGCCTTATGAAATGCTCCGGTGGGTGTGTACAGCCTACAGGCTGTAGGTTGGGCACCTCTGATCTAGTCTGACCTCCTGCATAGCCCAGGAGAGAAAATTTGCCCAGTGATTCCTGCATGAAACCCTATAACGTCTGTCACTGAATTTTATTTGCTCTCTGAGCATTGCAGAAAAAAAATATCAAACACTACAACTCACTAGATCAAGACAGCTGTAAGTGGCCCTTCCCAGATAAGCACCATCCAGACTAGATTCCCTCAGTCCAAAGGAAAGATGTGTACCCTGAATGTCACCAAATCCAGACATGTGAAAACAATCTAGCTGTTAACGCAAGCGCCAGGTACTAAAGGGCTCTTTCCTCTAGCAGAGAAAGGCAGAACGAGAACTGAGGGCTGGAAGCTAAAAACAGATACGTTCAAATTAGAAATAAGGCAAAATGTTTAACATCAGGGGTGATTAACCACAGGAACAAAGTACCAAGGGAGGTGGTAGATTCTCCATCTCTTGATGGCTTCAAATTGAATCTGGAGGTTTTTCTGGAAGATGCTTTAGTGAAACACAAATTAGTGGGCTCAATACAGGGGTAACTGGGTGAAATGTAATGGCCTGGGATATCCAGGAGGTCAGGCTAGATGATCTTCTAGTCCCTTCTGGCTTTAAACTTGATGAATCTAGGTTCTGAACAGCACAGTTCTGTGCTACTGAGTGTTCCTGGTTCAGGCACTGAATACCTATTTCCTGTGCACTATTTCCCCCCAGGGCATTGGTAAAAGATGTCACTCTTCAGCTAAGACTTTACAAGGTGAATTTTTCCTAGTTATTTTGTCCGGGTGACTATTAAAGCTCCCAAAGCAGCAGTGGGAAGGAGTCTCCATGTCCCCTGATGTGCTTGCTCAATTCCCCTACAGAAATGCCCTGACAGGATCACTGAAATATTCTCTTTTCTTCCTGAACAGACTTAGCTGTCCAAGACATGGATATATGTGAAATCTGCGCCAATGCAGCTTGCGCAGGTTGTCGCTGAAGAAGGATGAAACCATGTATATGGGGCCAGCCAAGCCCTGCAATCTCTGCATTTATCCTGCAGCGTCGTTTGCATTGGCAAAGCTATTCTCTCTTAGGCCAGGTCTCCGCTACCACCTACTTTGGTATAACTTATGTGGCTCAGCGGTGTGAATAAGCCACCCCCTGAGCGACATAAGTTACACTGAACTAAGCGATGGGAGAGCTTCTCCCGCTGACATAGCGACCGCCTCTCGCGGAGTGGATTTATTGTGCTGATGGGAGAGCTCTTCACCAGATGCGGTGCAGCTGTGCCAGTGTAGTGCTTCTAGTGTAGACTAGCCCTGAGAAACACAAACAAGATCCCCTCCCAACACCCATGCCAGGGTCACTGCTTCACTTTCCAAAAAGCTTTGTTAGGATGGGTGGGAGGTTTGGGGAATTGTAGCATCTCCTGTAAAAACCTTGTGAGGTCTAAATCCATGTGTGATTGTCTCCACCTGCACTAGTAGATCAGGTAGCGCAGACAAAATTCTATCAGCACAACCCGTGTGCCGTGGGATGGGGTTAGCACAGGCACAATCCAGTTTAATAGTGGGAGGTGAGGCTAACGACAGGATTGGTTCAGTCTCCATTTAGTTGTCTTAATGTTGCTGATCAATCTGAACTAACCATCTGCCCTGCTGCCCTCTGCAAACCTCCCCCACCCCACCTCCCAATACTTTTTCCCCCAAGAATTTTTCCCAGAAGGACCCTGTGACCTCACCCCAGCAATGATAAGTTCCTTTGCACAGGTGCTGTGCTGCAGAACACTGACAATCTACCACCTGCAAGGGGGCTAGCTCCTTTCATCAGCATCAGCTGTTTCTTTCTCAGCTTGGCAGTGCTTGGCCCCAGAGCTTAGAGGCAAGCCACACTCATTGTTCCTGGGTTTGGGCTATGGGAATCCAGGGCTCCAGGACAATTCCCTTTCTTTGTGGGATCTGTTTATCTATTGATGCAAGAGGCTACTCAAGGGAGACCTTTCTATATCTGGTGGGGTTCTGCACAGGCTGATGGTTAGTTGCTAGGCTCCTCACACCACTCCTATCTTTGCATTTCTTTAATGCTTACGTTATGTACGTGTAGTGAAGGATTTGTGCATGAGATTGTGATGGCTGTGTGCATATGTCTTCCTGCGTGTTACATGTATGTGCACCCCTATGATGTGGATGTGTTTATAATAAAACTATGTAATTTCATCTAGGGATAGGAATATTTTCTGCCATTTGAAATCTGTGAACCTTAGACTGAGTTTTTTAGTTTGAGTTTGCAGCTCTTCTGCTGTACCTTCACTCACTTCTTAGTAATAAAACTGTAGTAATACTTGTGCATTTACCTCCCAATACTGCAACAAGCAGGTACACTTGAATATTTCACACAATCCAGGTCTTGTGGTGTAATTGCAATAGAAATATGCATGAGAAAACACACTATTTCTGCATTTACAGAGTACAATACACATCCTTTCAGTTGTCACCCAGTTTGGTTTTTATCACCGTAATTTTTAACCTCAGTAGTTTTGAGATCAGCAGCACCTGTGCATTGTAATGCAGTTATGCCTGTTCTTCTGTACATATTAATAGTTGCATTTTCTAATTGTAAAACTAATCACTGTATTTTGTTCAGGTTAGTGTGGCTAAAAAGAAAGTCTCGTTCACTTACCACATTCTGTATATCAGCGAGTTATTTCCCACTTACAGAAAAAGATGTAAAGAAACATTATAGTTAAAAATAAGTAAATAAATAAAAATGCTAAATCACACAATAGTCTGGACATTCTTACTTGTCAGTGAATATTCTTTCTGGGTAAGTGGTACATTGATTACAAATTCATACTAACAAATTGACACTTATTCATGCACACATTAACTGTAATGTTTCTACTGTAACTAACATTATAGTCAACCGCTGGCATTTTGTAGGAGGTCTAAGTATCAAAGTCTGGTCTATAGTGAACATGCCCTGCAAAGCACAGATTCTAGTTTAGTGTCTATCTCACAATGTTTGGAATTAGGCAAATCAAGGTACTTTAATTTGTTTGCATGGAAAATAAAACCCAACTTTCCTTGGATATTGATGTCTTTATTATTTGCTAAGTCAGTTGAAGGTAGATCCAAGCACTTCCTGTATTCCCAGGCATCCACATTAGGTTTCAGTTTCCTCCTTCACTAAATCTTTCATGACTCTGGTTTTGCCTCCAGATGTGTGAATCCAAATGTGAATTTCTTTCTGAGACATCTCTATGCTACTGGTCATTCACACCCTATCCTGGTTAGCAATGGGTAACATGTGGGTGATCTGGAACCGGGGGTAGTCGTGGTTTGGATAAGTAGGAATGTAGAAGCTTATTTGGTTTGGAATTTTGAAGGGAAATCTGTCAGATCTTTGCTTTCCTATTAGATTTCCAATACTTGCTGGCTTTGGGCAGGTGGGATTTGGGAATAACACAAAGGTCAGTCTGAAACCAGGGTATGTTGAGATTCTGGGGGAAGAAAAGGTAACTAAGATTTAGGTTGACGAAGGGTATCACTTGCAGCTGAATGAATTCAAGATGATTGCTTGAAATGCTGTAAATAATGCAGCTGGAAAAGACATCTCTGGCTTCCTGAATAAATGCAAAATGAGATTGTTGCCATTCCTATCTGAGTCAGGGGTTTGAACCTGGGTTTGGAGAGAGGTCTTTGGTGGGGACATAAACATCCAGGACAGAGATGGAAAATAGAATTTAGGCCACAGGTTGGATTGTTTTGTTGGAAGGCGAAAGAGCCTGTGGATGGGATGGCAGGAGGCCAGAGGAGCAGACTGCAATGTTGTAATAATTTTGAAGGGAGAGGATGTGGTGGTGTTTATTTGTGGAAAGTATGTGTGGGAAGGCTTCTGACTATGTTTATATGCTACTGCACATGACATTCAAGTTTGCATGAGCATATGTTACACAATCGTTTATTGCTCTGTCTGCTCCATGTTCTCAAATTCTGAGAGTCAATAGCGAGGGGGAATCCCCACTAGGAAGAAAGGTGAAATCGTAGTGAAAACAAGGCAGTTTGTAGTTTTCAAACAAATTAGCAGTTCTATGTAAGGTGCTTATGTGACCCCCATCACTGCAGTGTCTGAGCATCAACCCCACTGCATGGCAGGGAAGCACTATCCAGAAACAGCTTTTCTGCAGGGAAACTGAGGCACAAAGGTGACTTTCCTTGGGGCATACAGGCTGTTTGGGGCAGAGCTGGAATTGAACCCAGCTATCTTACAGCCCAGGCTAGAGTGCTAAGCACTGGTCCGTGACTCCTCTCAAGCTAAAAGTGATGGGGGAGCCCATGTTTACCCTGACATGCTAAGTCATGTGAAAACTCCGAACTGCCTTAACTTCACTAAGGGTACGTCTTATTGCCGATACGGCGGGTAGCAATCGATTTATCCGGGATTGATATATCACGTCTAGTTAAGACGCG